TTTTGTCAGAATGTCGCCTCGAAGAACTACTCCATTCGTAAGTGAGCCCGATTTGTGCTATCTTTGTCCACCTTTCGAGCCATCTCGACTCGAACAACACAACCTCGACTGGTTTGCCCACTTGACTCTGGAATTGAGAGGTCGTTGGCTCGAACTAGCTCAAGTCGAACTTCCCAACTTAAAGACCTACCCTATTCTATTGGCATTACTTTTAGCAATTTACAATAAGCTAATTAATCAGAAATGATAATTATAAAATCAAGCATTTACACAAGGAAGCAAATCTCCTATGGGTATGTAATCTGTGCGTTTCGCTAACAAATAAATTATCACAATTCATCCACGATGTGGTACTCCACATGCAATGTATCAATGACCCGAAGATTATAGGAAAAGGTAGGTTTCGACGTGGCCATTGAAGACCTTTTATTTCCATTTTATTGCCCTGACCAGATGTCAATAATGTTTGGGGCAGTTGGGAAGGTTTAGATGCATGAAACTGTGCTCAAAATGGAATGTTGTAGGAAGAGCTAAACCAATTCAGTAGCGATATGTATAGGAAAATAACATATGTGTATTCAAGTGTGAATTTCTCTTGTAACAATGGCTTTGCAGTTTTCATTCTCCGGTCAATTAGAAACAATTAGCAATTAACTATTGTAATCATATTCACAAATACTGGTAAATAGAATGAGACGAATGAGAGGATGTTTAGGATCATTTCTTTAGATCAGTTGACCCCTACGTGGGAACGGATGCATAAAAGGTGATCTCACTAAAAACATCGTAAAAAATGTTGAAAGACCAGAATACAGACAAGAGAATGAAAAGATGGGGCGTGTGTATGAATCTGTTCGGTGTGTGTATGAAGCGAGAGATGGTGACGTTAAGAGAGGGTGAATGAAAAGTGGAAAAGATTGAGAATCGGGAATTTGATAAATTGTCCCGCAAAAGGTAGAATCTCTCCTACCTCACGGCACTGCGAACACCTAACCACACACAGACACACACACATACACAGGCTCACGTAAACGGACAAAAGTGAAAACAGGATCAAAAATTGAAATGATTTGGGAATGGGAGAAACTGTTATCTTTTGCCGACATCAAGATGAAAAATTGAATTGGATAACGAAAAATAAATGAAATTGATTACGACATGATTTCATGACCTGACCCTTTCTGACCCGACGGTACAGACGACTGGTCAACACGGACGCAGTTTCGAATACCTTGTTGAAAAGCTGAGCAGTTCCAATTATCAAAAGTTTGTGTTTATTTGGTGTTCGGTGAGGTCAATGTAGGACGCCCTTTAAAGCATCTTTTCACACCGACTAAAGGGTACAGAAGCACAAATTACCGTCATATTAGTGAGCTTGTTTTGCCTCATTTTCCTCGATTTTCGCATACTTTTCACACTTTTATTTTATCCCATCTGTATGTGTACAATAAACAAGTGTGGCATCAATCAGCCACATTTTTCGTGTTGTCGTCGAGACTAATTTAGACACAACTTATCGCCCAAAAAGTATGATTAAGTGCAAAAACAAGGTCAGAACATCGCTAAACATCGAAAGGAGACTGCGACCAAAATAGTCTTCATTTTCACTTATTTTAATTTTGTGTAATGCGGTATTCTTCACTAAACGATGGATATTTGATGAGATGAACCAAATGTCTGCACGGGCGAATCAAAGTAACAAGAGGATGAGCTAATCCTCAAGTCTCTCTCCGAAGAAAATACTTCTTTTTTCATGGTTTGTTTAGGCTATTTCATAAAATGCCAATTCATATTAAGTGTTTTTAGTCTTCTAATAAAGGTCCCATTTGAGCCCTAAATTTCTTGTTTTTCTCGCAGTATTTACGCACGATGGCCTGAATCAACAGCGTCTACGCCAAATGATCGCCAATTCCTTTGCCCAATCGGCCTGTCTGAAGGGGATCTCGGCCGAGCCACTCTTAATTTGGCCCTTGTCTGTCGACTTGATAGAAACTGACCTGAATTCAGGTAAGCAAAAAGTACTAAAATTAATTTTTGGTGTATCTGCAAAACTGTGTGGTCCACTTATCTATCCAAGTCAGTCATTCAAACACACACACACACACAAACATTAAACAGGAAATCTTCATTAATAAAGTAAAACTGCTATTGACATACTTTACCAAGCTGTGGTACCAACGTTTTGCGATTTCGTAAACAATTCTCATCTTCATCATCTTTTTCCTCTTCCTTTTCCTCCAACTTCTCTTTCTACACATCACTCCTCATTTTATCTTCCCCTTTACGTACTTCTATTTCGCTTTTTGCTCCTGCCCTTCGTCGTCCCTAACTCCTCTTCATTTTCATCTTTCACTATCTAATGACCCTCCCTTCTCCTGTTTTTCATCCTCCTCCAACTTCTTATGATGCTCTTTTTTCTCATACTCCTTTACCTCTTTTTCTTCCTACCCTTTTCTTCCTTCCCATTCCGCTCCTCCTGCTTCTTCTCCTGCTCCTCCTATCAAATAAGTCTTCTTTTGGTAGCGAATTTGAACGCTCACGACAGTTTTCTATCTTTCAAAAATGGCTGTTTTAGTTATTTCTTGTCTTTAGCACAGCTGCTTTCTCCTCAAAAATCGCCGTTTGGAAAAAAATTGCTTTATTTCCTCATTGCCAATACACAGTCAATTCGTCACATTGAACTCGGCTCAAAATCGGGAAAACCTCACAACTTGTTTCTGACTATAGAGATTTACCAGACACTGTCCGCAAAAGATACAATTTCATCTTGCCACCAAAAGGAGGCCAAGACGAAAGCAAAATGCAAAAATGGACACTGAAATCACATTTCTAAACTGGTCTCCTCCAGGATTTTAACCTAATCTTGGTGTCTTTTAAGAAGAATCACAAGCAACTTCAGTAAGCAGACTTGACAAATTATTTGCCCAATCAACGCTTCGAGGTCAGGGATCACACGTCTACGTTGGCATTCAACGCCGTACGAGCTTGAAAACGTTCATCAAAATCTTCCTGAAAACCTGATTATTATTATAAAATGCAGTTAACATTATATGCTTATATATAT